TTTCTCGTGTGTGTGTGTGTGTGTGTGTGTGTGTGTGTGTGTGTGTGTGTGTGTGTGTGTTAAATCCTGAGAGGAGAAGGGATTGCAATGTGATCATCCCCCCAGGAGTTCATTTCTCACTGTCTCTCTGGCAAGTGCATGTACCCTATACAAAAATCAATCTCTCAAAAAAGGAAGGGGCCAGCAGATAACTGTGGAGGTTAAGGTGGTTGGATCCTACATGGCTGACTTTGCAGTTTGAGTCCTGGATCCAGCTGCTTGAGTGTCATGCTGGGCACATGTGAGAGCCTGCTCAAAGCCCTGAGAGGATAATGGAGGAGGAGAGATTGTGGTGTGGTCAACCCCCTGAGGGGTGATTTTTTTTTACTTTCCTTCTCTCCCTCTCTCTCAGGGAAGCAGGTACTTCCTGTGGCAAACTAAAAGAATGGAAAAAAAAGATCAGCAGGTGATGATGAAGTCAAGGCACTGCATCACCTGTGGTTGACTTCATGGCTTGAGTCTCAGAGCTGCTTGAAAATCACTCTGGGTGCATGTGCCTGTGTGCCTAAAATTCCGAGAAAAGAGTGGAGGGAAACTGTGGCGTGGCTGTTTTCCCCAGGGTGTGTGTGTGTGTGATTTCTCACTTTCCCTCTCTCTTTCTGTCTTTCTCTGGTGAGCACATGTTCCTTATAGCAAAAATAACTTAAAAAAAAGAAACAAAGTAAATGAGATGGACCAGAGGTGGTGTGGAGGAGTCCAGGACCTTGTGGATTGATAATTATGCCAAGCACATGTGCGTTAGTGCCCAAAATCCTGAGAGGAGACCAGAAGAAAAGAGATAGTGTCATGACTATCCTCTCTTGGGTATGATTTCTCACTTTCCTTTTCTCTCTCTCTGTGATAAGTGCACACAGTTTATACCAAATCTAAAAAAGGAGAAAAAGGAAAGAAAATGAGAAGCAAGTGAAATTGATTTCAATATTTGATCCAAGATATCTAAAATGTAATTTTTTTATTTTTTATTTTTTATTTTTTTAAATGAGAGAGCAGAGGAAAAGGTGGCAGAGAGATATTTTTTGACCAGGTCTTACCACATCCAGAGATCCTGCTCAGGGGTAGCAGGATCATAGCAGTTAAGGTGCTGGACTCTCACATGGTCAACCACGCTGGGTGCATGTGCATGCATGCCCAAAATCCTGAGGGGAAGAGAAGGGATTGTGTTGTGGTCATACCCCCGGGGGGTGATTTCTCACTTTCTCTGTGTGTCTCCAGTGAGTGCACATGTCCTATAGCAAAAATCTCTTTATTTTAAGAATTATTTTTATTTAACTTTAATTTGACCAGAGGGACAGAGAGGAGAGAGAGTGAGAAAGCAAGCTGCCAAGTCCAGGACTCGAACCGCGATCAGTCATGTGGGAATCCATCATCCTTAACCACCACGCCACCTGCTGGCCCCTTAACGTTATTTACTTATTTTAATGTGACCAGAGAGGAACAGGGGGAAAAATATATATCTATAGATACAGATATAGATATATATATATAGAGAGAGAAAGAAATTGAGAAAGTAAGCCACCAGGTCCGGGACTCTTAACTACAGTCAGCCATGTGGGAGTTCAGTGCCCCAACCACCACGCCATCTACCAACCCTGCAAAAATCTTTCTTAAAAAAAAAAAAAAAAAAAAAATAAAAAGGAGGTTCTGCTGTCTCACTCTCCTAGCTGTCTAGGACTACAGGTGCATGCCACTTGGCCTGGCCTCTTTAGATCTGACCAGGTACCAAATGCAGGCCTCCCAAATGGCCTGAATCGTCACACAGTGGCACCCTTCTACCTGCACCACGAGCTGGACCTGAAACGCAATTTTGCCACTTGTTCCCAACCATATTTCAAGTGCTCTAGCCATATACAGCAGCCCTATCTTAATTAGTGGCTGCCATATTGGACTATTGGACAACACTGCTCTAGAAGGTATCCAACAGGAGTGGGTGGCTGAGATAGGGTGGGAGGCAAGCCAGTTGAAGAAAGGTGGTCAAGGAATCGAGGTTAACGTATTGGACATATTGTAATTTGGGATTACAGTGGGTAGTGTTACAGAGAGTGGCAATGGACAGCTAGGATAAACAACAATGTTGAGATTGTAGTGGAGTTTTTGATAGAGCACAAGCTTTTTAGATCTAAGTTTGGGGAATTGGAGTGGAAGATTGTGATTTAGGGAAGTCAGTTACGGAGATGAGAGTGTAGGAGAGAAGGGATGAATCTGAAGTCTTGGGCTTCCTGCAGACTTACATAAAAAGGGGTTATCTCCAAGATTTTTCAAGATAAAAAAGCAGTTATCTGTATTTTGCTCTTGATTTTATATTTAATTAGTTTATTTTTTCTAGAGGGTGTGTATGCTCTGTAGTGAGACAGGGAGAGGAGAAATCACTCCCTGGTGGAGATGGCCACACCGTAATCTCTTTTTATTTCTCTCTCTTTTTTTTAAATAAGTATTTATTTAATTCCATTTGTTATTGTTATATTTTTTTTGAAGAAGTTTTTGCTATAGGGTGCATGCACTTGCCAGGCAGAGACAGAGAGACAGAAAGCTAGAAATCACCCCCTAGGGGGGATGGCCACACCACAATCCCTTTTCCTCCATTCTCCTCTTGGGATCTTGGGCACGCACGCACACGTGCCCAGCGTGAGTTTTAAGCCACTGGGTCCGGGACGCGAACCGCTGTCGACTACATGGGAATCCAGCGACATAGCCATTACGCTAACTGCTGGTCCCTGTAGTTATTATTTAAAAAAAAAATTTTTTTTTGAGAGGTTTTTGCTATAGGGCGTGTGCGCTTGCCAGACAGACAGAGACAGAGAGACAGAAAGTGAGAAATCACCTCCCAGGGGGCATGGCCACGCCACAATCCCTTCTCCTCCATTCTTTTTTTCTTTTCTTTTATTTTTTTGGAGAGGTTTTTGCTATAGGGCGCATGCGCTCGCCAGACAGACAGAGACAGACATAGAGACAGAAAGGGAGAAATCACCCCCAGGGGGGATGGTCACACCGCAATCCCTTCTCCTCCATTCTCCTCTCGGGATCTTGGGCACACATGCACACGCGTCTGGCGTGAGTTTTAAGCCACCGGGTCCAGGACGCGAAGTGCGGTCGACTACGTGGGAGTCCAGCGACATAGCCATTACGCTAACTGCTGGTCCCATTATTTTTTAAAAATTTGACCATAGAGAAAAAGGGAAAGGGAGAAAGCAAGCTGCCAGGTCCAGGACATGAACCATGGTCGGCCATGTGGGAATCCAGTGCCTTTTACCACCATGCTACCTGCCGGCCCGTTTCTTAATGTTGTTGAGGTTTGGGGCACTCATGTAGTCCTCACATTAAAAAAAAGTAAATGAGAGGGTCAGTAGGTGGCATGGTGGTATGTTTTTCAAGCTTCTGGGTCCATGACTCAAACAACATGGTCGGCTCTGTGGGATCTGGCTGCCTTAACTACCAGGCCACAGAGCCGGCCCTTATTGATTGGTCGACTGATTGCTAGAAAGTGCTTGCATTTACAGAGAAAGAAAGAGGGAAATGAGAACTCTCGTGGGGAATGATCATTTCACAATCCCTCCATTTCTCTCTCTCTTCGGGATTTTGGGTATACATGGGCATGTGCCTGGCATGTTTTCTAAGCAGTTGGGCCTGGGATCTGAGCTGTGATGTTAGCCATATGGGATACAGTTGCCTTAACTACTATGTTAAGGAGCAAGCACTATTTTTTTTTTAATGTTATATATATTTAACCATAATTTAAAACATTTTTGGGGCCAGTGGGTGGCATGGTGGTTGAGGCATTGGACTGTCTCATGGCCAACCATTGTTCAGGTCCCGGACCTTGCAGCTTGAGACTCATGCCAGGTGTTTGTGTGCGCGTGCGCACCCAGGGTCCTTGGAGGAGAATAGAGAAGCAGGGATTGCAGTGTGGCCTTCCCCCCTGGGGAGGGTTATTTCTCACTTTCTCTCTTCATCTCTCTGGGGAGCACATATGCCCTATATTAAAAATCTCTCAAAAAGAAAAAGAAGAACAAATTAGTAATCATATGCTAAAAGCTCTCTTTTCCCCATCCAGGGAAAAGTTGTTTACTTCATCCAGGTCTGGGGTAGGTTTTTGCATTACCCTTCCTTAGGAAGATTGTTTACTTTACTCTTTGTTTTATTTAGTTAATATTTTAAGCTGTGTAAAAGAATGGTTTTGGTGGGGTTTGCTGTAAATTGGTCAGTGTCATCCTAACTTAAAATATTCTGTTTGATTTTTATTTTCTCTAGGTAGCAGAGGCTCAACGGGCAGAGTTTAGCCCTGCCCAGTTCTCTGGTCCTAAGAAGATCAACTTGAACCACTTGTTGAATTTTACTTTTGAACCCCGTGGCCAGGCGGGTCACTTTGAAAGCAGTGGACATGGCAGCTGGGGAAAAAGGAACAAGTGGGGGCATAAGCCTTTTAACAAGGAACTCTTTTTACAGGCCAAGTGAGTATTGCTGCTCTTTGCAGGAAAATGGACTTGAGCCTCTGGGTAGCTGTGGTGCTGTGAGGATGCTTATTTGAAACTACTGTGGGATATAACCAGAGAATTGATCTGGCTCCTTGTTCCCTTTTCCACTTCCCTTTCTTTCACTCACTTGGAAAGAAGTATCTTGATACTTAAGAGAATATAAGGCTTAAATGAATGTTTTCAGTATCATGTTGAAGAAGAAAAAGTGTGTGGAATTTAACCCAGATTTGAACCTTGCTTTGGGCTTTGACATTGGGTAATTTACTAAATCTCTGCAATTTCAGCATTTTGTCTATAAGGAAGAGCAAATTTTTTTCTTTTAAAAATATTTATTTGTGGGACCAGCAGTTAGCGTAATGGCTATGTAACTGGACTCCCATGTAGTCGACTGCGGTTCGAATCCTGGACCCGGAAACTCATGCCAGGCGCGTGTGCGTGCATGCCTAAGATCCCAAGAGGAGCATGGAGGAGAAGGGATTGCGGTGTGGCCATCCCCCCCGGGGGGTGATTTCTTGCTTTCTGTCTTTCTGGAGCACACACGTGCCCTATAGCAAAAAACCTCTAAAAAAATATATATATATATTTGTTGTGATTTTTCAAACTACTGAATCTAGGACTTGGACTGCAGTTAGCCATATAGGAATCCAGCACCTTAACCACCACACTAGCCATAGGCCTTGAAGAGCAAGTTTCTTCAGAGATAATTGAGGGGCAGCAGGTGGTGTGGTGGTTAAGGACCGGACTTCCATATGGCTAACTATGGTTTGAGTCCTGGACTGGTGGCTTGCTTTTCTCCCTCCCTCCCCGCCCTCTCGTGCATGCACGCGCGTGTGCCCTGTAACAAAAAATGATGATGCTAAGTAAAATTTTTTAAAAATGGGACCAGCAGATGTAATAATAGTTGCATCGCTGGACTCCCACATAGTCTGGTGGTTTAAAACTCATGCTGGGCACATGTGCGTATATGCCCAACATCCCAAGAGGAGAATGGAGAAGGACTGTGGTGTGGCCATTCTACCTGGAAAGTGATTTCTCACTTTCTTGCTCTCTGGCAAGTGCACACACCCTATAGCAAAAATCTCTCTTTAAAAAAAAAAAAAGGATTAATTGACAAGTTGAAGTGCGTGGCATAAATTTGATTAAATACTGATTCCCTTTTGTTTTTCTTTGTGGGGCATTAGTCATAATATAACATGTGACTGAATCTAGAGTGAAATTATCATTTCATACTTTATATAAACGTCTCAAATGATTGTGTGAGAACAGTCTTTTCCACTGTCTTGAAGACCAGCCCCATAAGCGGTGAGGAGGGAAATCTGGCTTACTGTTTGTTGGAGCTAGTCTGGGATAATTTCAGATCAAGGAAGGCATACAGGGAACTTGACTAGGCTTGAAGCAGAAGAAACAGTTCATAGAGTTAGACTTCTACCCTCTGATTCTGGATTCTTTTCAGAGCCAAGGTTCAGAGCTGAGACTGAAGTTCAGTACAGTGCTTCATGGACCATGGTTGTTGATGGCCGGCCCACATCTGATCTCTAAGAGAAGAGATGATGAGTTTCTGCTGAAGGCTTCTTGGTAGAGTCTAACAGCCTGCCTTTTGCTGTCTTGTAGCTGCCAGTTTGTGGTGTCTGAAGATCAAGACTACACAGCTCATTTTGCCGATCCTGATACTTTAGTTAACTGGGACTTTGTGGAACAAGTGGTGAGTAGTTCAGCCACGTCTACAGACTATTAGAACTAAAGAAAGGGACTGGTGACACAGCAGCTGTGCGCCGTGTACACTGCCAGTTCCCTTGCTGCCTTGGCCTTATGTTGACACTTCCCACAGGCCAGTTCTTGCTTATTCCGAGTCTGCATTGTAATTCTGATTGGCATTGACTGACCTACAGGGGTGGGATATAGGAGCCTTTGGTCTGGGGGATGTCAGTGGTTTGTCTACAACCACCTCTCTCAGGGAGTAATAATCAGGACTCTGAGAGAGACACTGGTTACTCTCCTGACCCGCAGTGTGCTCATTACATGGACATTGCTTCCTTGGCAGCCATTCGTAGTGAGCAGTTTCAGATTGGCCTCACCTTGTGGTAGGTGAATGAGGTACATGCTGCATTTTGTGTTAAAGGAGCCTCTAGGCATCCTTTATTTATTTATTTTAAAGATTTATTAATTTCTTTCATTCCATTTGTTGTTACTATTATTTTTTAATTTGACCAGAGAGAGCAAGAGAAAATGGAAGAGAGAAGGCAAGTCACCAGGTCTGGAACTTGAACCATGGTTGGCTAAGGGAATCCAGTGCCTCCAACCACCATGTCATCTGCTGGCCCAGCGAGGCATCCTTTCACTGACCCTGATAGGGTATCTAATGTAGAATTCCTTTAAAAATGACAGCCCTTTTTTTTGGGGGGGGAGGGGCGAACAGAGGCTTTTGGCTCTAAACCTTATGTTTTCAGTGCTATGAAAATTCATGACATCATCTGAGAAGGACACAGAAGGCTTATAAACTTAAGTTCTAGTGTGCCTTACATTGTTATACATAAAGCAAAGTCTAGTTAACTTCTCTATAGAAAATCAGTGATAGTTTTAGACCCTTTTTATGCCTTTATGAGTGTGTACATACCAATATTTTTTAGAATTATTTAATTTTTTTCTTTTCTTTTTTTTTTAGGAGAGATTTTTTCTACAGGGTGTGTGTACTTGCCAGACAGAGAAACAGAAAGCGAGAAATCACCCCCTGGGGGAATGGCCATGCCACAATCCCTTCTCCGTTCTCCTCTCGGGATCTTGGGCACACATGCACATACACGTGGCGTCAGTTTAAGCCACCGGGTCTGGGACACAAACCACAGTCGACTACATGGGAGTCCAGCGACATAGCCATTACGCTAATTGCTGGTCCCGAATTATTTAATTCTTTAATTTTGAGGGGCCAGCAGATGGTGTGGTGGTTAAGGGCACTGGAATCCCACATGGCCAACTGTGGTTTGAGTCCCGAACTGGTGGCTTTCTTTCTCACTTTCTTTCTCTCTCTCTCTCTCTCTCTCTCTGGTCAAATTAAAATAAATAAATAAATAAATAATAAAGTAATTCTTTAGAAAAAAAGGAATTATTTAATTTTGGGGGCCAGGAGGTGGCGTGGTGGTTAAAGCTCTGGACACTCCCACATGTCTGACCACAGTTTGCGTCCTGGACCTGGTGGCTTGCTTTCTCACTTTCCCTCCCCCTCTATCTCTCTTTTTCTTTGTGTCTGTCTCTGGTCAAGTTAAAATAAATTAATGAATAAATAAAAAAATAAAAAAGGAGCTAGCAGTTGGTGTAATGGCTATTTCACTGGACTCCCATGTAGTCGACCATAGTTCCAAGTCCTGAACCTGGTGACTTAAACTCACACTGGGCTTATGTGCGTGGGTGCCCAAGATCCCGAGAGGAGAATGGAGGAGAAGGGATTGCGGCGTGGCCATCCCCCCCTCCCCCCCCCGGAGTGATTTCTCGCTTTCTGTCTCTCTCTGTCTTTCTGGCAAGCGCTCATGCCCTATAGCAAAAACTTCTCAAAAAATTTTAAAAAGAAAATTATTTTATTTATGATGATGGTCATTTTAAAATTTGCTATAGGACATCTGTGCTTACCAGAGAAAGAGAGAAAACAAGCCATCAAGTCCAGGAGTCAAACTGCGATAGTCCAGTCATAGTCCAGTGCCTCAACCACCTGCTGGCTCCATATTAAGTCTTCATTTTTTAAAAATGGGACTGGGGGTACTAGCAGATGGTGTAATGGTTACATTGCTGGGCTCTGACGTAGTCGACTGTGGTTCAAATTCTGAACCTGACAGCTTAAAACTCACACTGGGTGTGTGTATGTGCATGCCCTAAATCCCGAGAGACTGGAGGAGAAGGAATTGCGATATGACCATCCCCTTGGGGAGTGATTTCTCGCTTTCTGTATTTCAGTCTCTCTGGCAAGTGCACGTGCCCTATAAGCAAAAATCTCTCTATAAATGAATAAATGAATAGATCAATGGATGGAACTGAGGCTGGATAGTTATAAAATATGACACTTTGTAACCCACAGGAGAAGGTTGTTAGTCAAGTCTAGAGACCTCTCTGTGTATGCTAGGCAAACACGTGCTCATGATCTGGTTGAAGGTAGGGTGGATTGTGGTGTCAGGACCTTGTTGATGCTGCTGTAACTATCTCTGTCTCTCTCATGGAATAAATAAATAAACTTCAGAAATAGGATCATATGGTGATTTCTGTCATCTTTTCCTTTTAATGTGGAACCTTCCAAAGTAAGTTATCTGTTATATATTGATTTTATTACATTTTAAACCATTATTGTGGTTTCCTTAGTGATTTGGTTAAAATGTTATCACATGTACACTTAGATTATTAAATAATTTTTTGCAGATGTGTTGAGTTGAGATGTATGGGAATGGGGCCAGGTGAGGAGAGGCTGTAACTTTTTTCTTTTTTGAGAGGTTTGTGCTATGGGGCATGTGCGCTCGCCAGAGACAAAGAGATAGAAAGTGAGAACTCATCCTCTGGGGGGATGGCCACACTGCAATCCCTTCTCCATTCTCTTGAAATCTTGGGCACGCACACACACGCACCCGGCATGAGTTTTAAGTCACCAGGTCTGGGACTCGAACTGCAGTCAACTACATGGGAATCCAGTGATGTAGCCATTACGCCAACTGCTGGTCCTGAGGCAGTAATTTTGACTGCCTCTCATCAATTCTGAAAGCAGTGAAACTTGTGGCATTTTGTTTCAGCGCATTTGTAGCCATGAAGTGCCATCTTGCCCAATATGCCTCTACCCACCTACTGCAGCCAAGATAACCCGTTGTGGACACATCTTCTGCTGGGCATGTATCCTGCACTATCTTTCACTGAGTGAGAAGACCTGGAGTAAATGTCCCATCTGTTACAGTTCTGTGCATAAGAAGGATCTCAAGAGGTGAGACTTAGACATTTACTAGGTTAGACTCCAGTCCACTAACTACTTACTCCTCTACATCTAAATGTCCATATTACAGTGTTGTTGCCACCGAATCACGTCAGTATGTTGTTGGTGATACCATTACGATGCAGCTGATGAAGAGGGAGAAAGGGGTGTTGGTGGCTTTGCCCAAATCCAAATGGATGAATGTAGACCATCCCATTCATCTCGGAGGTGAGTTCCATTAATTTTGGGTACACTCTTTTAGGCTATTGAATAAATCTTTGTAGTGTTGGATATTTAGCTACTGTGTAAGCCAACGCTAGTCTGTTCAAAGTAGTAGTAGGATTCTAGCAGGTTAGGGTAAAGTTTGCAGAAGAGGGAAACCCTTGGTTTCAAGTTTGGTTGAGATGTGTGTGTGTATCTAAATTTTTCACTACTCAAGGCTTTATTGAATAGTATCTGATACTTTGCCCCCAATGTTGGTGATTCCAACAATCAGCCCATCTTGGCTCTTATTATTAAAGAACTCCATAGTCTAATAGAAGAGAGAGTTAGGTGAATAAGCTGTTAGACTGTAGAGTGTGATATATGCATACAGTGGGGGAGAGTGAGAGCTTATCTTTCCTATGTTCCATGTAGAAGTGAGCATTTCATTAAAGTGGCATTTTAGTATCTGGGAAAAATAAATGGTATCAACAACTGGTCCTATAGCACAGAGAGTAGCAGATAGTATAGTGGTTACATTGGTGGACTTCTACATAGCTGACCATGGTTCAAGTCCCAGACCCACTGTCTTGAAAATCACGCTGGGTGCATATGTGTGCATTCATGAAATCCCAAGAGGAGAATAGAGAAGGGAGTGTGGTGTGGCTACCCCCCCCCCCAGAGGGTGATTTCTCGCTTTCTGTCTCTCTGATGAGCACATGTGCCCTATACCAAAAGTTTCTCTAAAAAAATTGTATTGGAACAGTTGGCTTTTATTATTATTTTTTTTTTAAAAAAGAATGATTTCCTTTCACTTTATTTATTTTAATTTAACCAGAGAGGGACAGAGTGAGAGAGAGAGAGAAAGTAAGAGAGCAAGCCACCAGGTTTGGGACTTGAACCATGGTCGGCCATGTGGGATTAAAGGTTTGAGTCCTGGACCCAGTGGCTTAAAATTCATGCCAGGCGTATGTTCATGAGTGCCCAAAATCCCAAGAGGAGAATGGAGGAGAAGGGATTGCAAGATGGTCATCCCCCAGTGCCCTTAACCTCCATGCCACCTACTGGCCCCCATTATTTTTTTCTTTTTAAAGAAATTATTTAATTTGCTATAGGGCATATGCACTCACCAGAGAGAGAGAGAGTTAAAAGTGAGAGAGCAAGCCACCAGGTCCAAGACTTGAACCATGGTTGGTGGGAGTTGAGCACCATAACCACCAAACCACCTGCTGGCCCCCAGTTGATTATTAATATTTTTTTTTAATTTTTAAATTTAACTATTTTTAAATTTATTTACTTATTTATTTTTCATTTGACCAGAGAGGGACAGAGTGAAAAAGAGGGAATGTGAGAAAACAAGCTACCATGTCTGTCTGGGACTCAAACCGTGGTCAGCCACTTGGGAGTCCCAGCGCCCTCAAAAACCACGGCACCTGCCGGCCCTCCCCCTAGTTGATTATTCTTATTTTAAAAAATCACATGCCATCCATATAATCTAATAGAGAACAAAGTGTAAAATAATCTAAAACTTAGACCAGCTAGTGGTGTGGTAGTTAAGGCAACTAGATCCCACATGGCTGACTACATAGTTTGAGTCCCATACCCAGCAGCTTGATAAACTCACCAGGTGCTTGTGTGTGCATGCCTGAAATCCTGAATGGAGAATAGAGTAGAAGGGATTATGGCATGGCCATCTTCTACTGTAGTCCTTTCTCACTTTTTTTTCTTTTTCTCTCTGTCTGTCTCCAGTGAGCTCATGTGCCCTATGATAAATTAAAATCCAAGGCTTTTAAAAGAAAATCAGTATATCTTTGTAGATCCTAAATTTTTGGTGGATTTTTGAATCAGGCTGAAACCATAGATGCTGTAAAGAAAAATAAATAAATTTTATTTTAAAGAATGAAAGTTATGGGACCAGCAGGTGGCATAATGGACTCCCACATAGTTGACTGGAGTTCAAGTCCCAGACCTGGAGGCTTAAAATTCAGGCTGGGCACATGTGCGTGCATGCCCAGAATTCTAAGAGAAGACTGGAGGAGAAGGGATTGTGGCATGGCCATCCATCTCCCCTGGGGGATGATTTCTCGCTTTCTGTCTGTGTCTCTGTCTCTCCTGTGAGTGAACGTACCCTATAGTAAAAATCTCTCTTTAACAACAACAACAAAAAAGAATGAAAGTTACATCTCATAAGACTCCTTAAAGTTGATCCATGATAAACTAGAGATTTCCACATTTAAAATTTAAGACTAACATTCACAACATATACGTATTATATAAATTAGAAGAACAACTTAGTAGAAGAGTAGGCTGAAGCATGTAACAGAGTATTTCCCAGTAGAAGTCAGAATAACCTTCAGATAGCTAGAGAGGTATATTAGCTCATCAGGAAAGTCATGATGTACTTTTCTTGTCTTTTTTTTTTTTTTTTAAAGAATGATTTATTTAATTTTATTCATTCATTTATTTTAATTTGACCAAAGAGAGACACAGGGAGAGAGAGGGAAAGTGAGAAAGCAAGCCACCGGGTCTGGGATTTGAATGATGCTTGGCCATGTGGGAGTGTCCAGTACCTTAACTACCACGACACCTGCTGGCCCCATGACATATTTTTCTATGCAAAAGCACCTCATTACTTTCCCAACAACCCAGTAATTTGACTAAGAGTTAACAAATCAGAATGCCCATCAGAGATTGACATTCCTTCCCCCAAAAGACATTGATAACACTGGGTTTTGGCAGGAGTTGAGAAATGGATACTCTTGTTCTTGGTGTGAATGTACATAGATAACAGCCTTTAGGAAGGCAGTTTGGTAATATTTAAAATGTGCATAACCTTTAATCCAGCATTTTTCTTTTTCTGTTCTTGCTTTTTCTTTTACTTATTCATTTATTGAGAGAGATTTTTGGTATAGGGCACATATACTTGCCAGAGAGACAGGGAGACAGAAAGCAAGAAATCACCCTCCCATGGGGGGATGGCCATCTTGCAATCCCTTCTCCTCCATTCTCCTCTTGGGATTTTGGGCACTCATGAACATACGCCTGGCATGAACTTTAAGCTACTGGGTCCAGGACTCAAACCATGCTTGACTATGTGGAAGTACAGCAATGTAACCATTACACCATCTACTGCTCCTGAGAGATTTTTGCTTTAGAGTGCATGTGCTTGACAGAGAGAGAAAGTGAAAAATCACCCCTTGGAGGGATGGCCATGCTGCAATCCTTTCTCCTCCATTCTTTCCCTGGGATCTTGGCCGTGCAAGCACTCTGAGCTTTTTTTAAAAAAAATTTATTTAACTTTATTTTTCTATTTTAATTTATCCAGTGAGGGACAGAGAGAGAGATAAAAAGAGGGGGGGGGAGAGAGAGAGAGAGAGAGAAAGAAAAAGTGAGAAAGCAAGCCACCAGGTTCAAGACTCGAACTGCAATCAGCCATGTGGGAATCCAGCACCCTTAACCACCATGCCACCTGCTTCATTGTAACCACTTTCACCTCTCCGCCATGCACAAGTTGTAAGCTGCCAGATCTGGGACTCAAACTGTGGTCTACTACATAGGAGTCCAGTGAGATAACCATTATGCCATCTGCTGGTTCCTGACATCTGCCTTCCCCCCCCCAGAACAGATACTTCCACATGTCACTAATTTCTCCCTTCTTAGAAAATACTTCTTTTGTCTTCAAAATTTTCTTTAATGAACTTACCATCTTCTAATTAATCATTTCTTTATTGGACTTAACGGTTGGTTTTAACGTTTTTGGTATTACATACAATGCTATAATTGATAAACATTGTACGATTACAATTTTAACTGTGTCTCTGGTTTTCTTAGATTTCTTGTATTACAGGGTCAGAGTAATAAAATTTTATTTTTTCTTTCTGCCATAGGGCACATGCGCTTGCTGGCGAGAAACAGAGAAAAAGAAAGGAAAATGAGAAATAACTGCCCAGAGGGGATGGCAATGCTGCAATCCATTCTCCTCTTTTAGCTTCTTGAGATTTTAGGCATGTGTGCGCACATGCCCTGTGTGACTTTCAAGCCACTGGGCCTGGGGCTTGAACTGCAATCTGCCATGCAGAACTCCAGTGCCTTTACCACCATGCCACTTGCTGCCCCTATAAATCTTAAGGTCATTGTTAAATTATTTTCTAGAAATGTATGCTCAGTTACCCTACTCTGCTGCCCTGGAAGAAGATGGTTCCTATTTAGTGACATCATGAACTTTGCATGTTTCATTTTGTGATCTTGCTGGCTTTCTTGTAGATGAACAGCACAGCCAGTACTCCAAGTTGCTGCTGGCCTCCAAGCAGCAGGTGCTGCACCGGGTAATTCTGGAAGAGAAAGTGGCATTAGAGCAGCAATTGGCAGAGGAGAAGCACACCCCCGAGTCCTGCTTTATTGAGGCAGCTATCCAGGAGCTCAAGGTGAGAGGACGGATTGGAAACTTAAAGCCAAGGACCCCTACTCTGTTTCTGGAGTGTGTGCATAGACAGTGGGGATAAGGTACTTCAACCCCTCATTTAAGATTATAAACAAGGAATATCCTCAAACCAATTTTTTCCAGGCTTAGTTTGGTGAGGAAAGACTGAACTATATAGGTTTTTTTAAAATTTTCTTTTAAATGATAGCACACAGAGAGAGGAAGTAGAGAAAGTACCCTGGCAGTGTCTCATGGTGCTCTTCCAGCTTCTCAGGATTTGGGGCACCTGAGTACATGCCTAGTGTGTTTTCATGCAAACCCAGTGATCTAAACCTGTAGTAGGCATGTGGTTTCCAGCCTTGTAGGGCATTGTATTACTGCTGTGCCACAGTTACTGGGCCCTGTAGGCTTTTAAAGCTTTTTCTAGAATAGAAAGGAACAAGTCACATGATTTTATACCTGTCAGTGGAGTTTCTTGGGTTAGCTATTGGGTTGTTGGAAACGTCATGACACAGTTTTGCATAGAAAAACAGAAAAATATGATTTACCTGACAATCTGATTTTTTTTTTTTAAGAATTATTTATTCAATTTTATTTATTCATTCATTTTATTTTAATTTGACCAAAGAGAGACAGAGACACACAGAGAGAGAGAGAGAGAGCGCGTGCAAGCACGTGAGTGAGCAAGCAGAGGGAAAGTGGGAAAGCAAGTCACCAGATACGGGACTTGAACCGTGGTCGGCCATGTGGGGTATCCAGCGCCTTAACCATCACACCACCTGATGGTACCCATCTTTTTTGTTTTTTAAGAATTATTTTATTTGGGAACCAGCAGTTAGCGTAATGGCTATGTCGCTGGACTCCCACGTAGTCGACTGTGGTTCGTGTCCCGGACCCAGTGGCTTAAAACTCACGCTGGACGCGTGTGTGTGCGTGCCCAAGATCCCAAGAGGAGAATGGAGAAGGGATTGCGGCGTGACCATCCCCCCTGGGGGGTGATTTCTCGCTTTCTGTCTCTATGTCTCTCTCTGCCTGCCTGGTGAGCGCACACGGTCTATAGTGAAAACCTCTCAAAAAAAAAAAAAGAATTATTTTATTTGACTTTATTCATTTATTTAAATTTGACTAGAGAAACAGAGAGAGAGAGAATGAGAAAGCACGCCACTAGGTCTGGGACTCGAACTGCAGTCACGTGGGAGTCCAGCGCCCTTGACTACCACACCATTTTCCAACCCCTCTAATGTATTCTTAAGTGAGATAGGGGTTTTTTTTTGGGGGGGGGGTAAATACTTAGTTTAGTTTTTGCAAGTGTTTTATTTGAGAGTCATTGCGGAGAAAGTATTATGGCATGCCCAATAGGTCTTAGCAACTAATGTCTATTAAACAATAAAAGTTACCCAAGTACAGAGTTCCCTAGGTTCTGGATCCTTCACACAGGGATTTTTTTTTTATTTTTTTTAAGGTTTTAGTTTTATAGGGTGTATGCAGTCACCAGAGAGAGGGAAAGTAAGAAATCACTCCTTTCATCCCCCAGAGTGATGACCATGCTGTAATCCCTTCTAATTTATTCCCATCTTGGAATTTTGGACACACCCAGCATGATTTTTAAGCCACCGGGTCCAGGACACAAGCCTTCATTGGTCGTGTGGGGTCTACCGCCTTAATCTCCATGCCACCTGCTGACCACACAATAGGAATTCTTCTTCCCTTTTTTTTTTTTTTGAGAGATTTTTGCTTCAGGGTGTGTGTGTACTCACTGGAGAGACAAAGGTGAGAAATCAATCCCACAGTGGGGATGGCCACACTGCAGTCTCTTCTCCTCCATTCTCTTCTTGGGATTTTGGACGCACACACACACACACACACACACACACACACACACACACGCCCAATGTGTTTCAAGCCACTAGATCTGGGACTTGAACTGCAGTTGACCATATGGGATTCTAGCACCTTAACCACTATATTACCTGCTGGCCCCAACAGGCTTTCTTAAACTTTAAGCATCATGCTACTAGTTGGCTCCACCCAGAGAGATGGATTCTTAGATCTGGGCTTTGTAGGTTCAATAATTTGTATTATAACAAGGTCCAGGGTGATTCTGATGCTGTACATCCCCAGAATATATTTTGAGAACTAGATGAGAATAATAAACCTCTCACTAGCAGATGACAGGCATAGCACCTCATTTAACCTTCATGTCCTGGTATAGCAGAGACAACTCTTTGGTCTTTCATGGGTGAGGAAATGGAATCAAAGGTTAGGTAATTTGCTTAAGGTCACTAAACAAGGCATTAATTTGGTATTTGAATTGCTATCTCTCTGACTCCCCAAGTCCTCTTGGGGCAAATTTCTGTGTATTTCTGTTTTTCTTTGTACATTGCAGCAGTGTTGGTTCAAATAAGTAGAAGAAAAGCTATGTGGAACTAGAGCTGTGCAGGTTGAGGTAGGGTCAGCCAAATCCCTATCTCCTACTCTGGGCCTCTCTCTGTGTGGTTGTAAAAACTGAGGCTAGTTTTATGTTCTTGGATTTCTGTTCAGGAAGTTTTTGTGTAGTCTTGTCAGGGTCAGAGATGCTAAGCAGAATAGCATTCTTTGTGGGTACCAGGTGCTTTGGTTCCTGTTCCCTTAAAAGACTGAAGATTTTAAGTACCTTTCCCTTTGGATCTTGATGATTTTCAACTTTTGCTCCTGTTGTGAGAGGCTGTGCTAAGCCTTTGTTCTTCAAACTTGGTGTGCCTGGAAACTTAGCCTTTCTTTGGTTTTCTTTCTGGTGGCCTTAGGCTCGGGAAGAGGCTCTGTCCGGGTTGGCTGAAAGCAGAGGGGAAGTGACTGGTGTCGTGGCTGCTCTGGAACAACTGGTGCTGATGGCTCCCTTGGCGAAGGAGTCGGGTTTTCAACCCAGGAAGGTTAGTGCGTGTCTATCACAGATTAAACAGCTGCCATTGCTCAGATGCTGCTGTTGAGCTGGTGGCACCATTGTGAGATCTGAACTTTCTTGGAAGAAAAGAGAACTATGAGCATTTTCTTTGTGCGTACTACCAATTCTTTTCCCAGCAATGTTAAATCAATGGATGTGACAGCTTATAGAAGCAACCAGGGTGCTTAATTTGTGCCTTTGCCACTTTACTTCCTTCTTGAAAGCAGGGCATATACTTTCTGTTGATATAGTTTGTTCCAATAGGGCGTGCTAGAGTACCTGTCTGCTTTTGATGAAGAAACCACAGAAGTGTGTTCTCTGGACTCTTCTCGTCCTCTCGCTCTCCCTCTGGTAGAGGAAGAAGAAGTCTTTGAACCAGAGCTTGAGGGTTTGTCAGAAGCCTGCGAAGACTTGGAATTAGCAGATGACAATCTTGGAGAGGGGACCTCTTGTGTGGAGTCCAGCCAGCAAGAACCCACCATCAAGCCAGGCCTCACGCCCCTGAGCAGCTCTCCTTGTTACTACTTTTACCAAGGTGAGAGTTTCTGAGGAGGGCTGGGTTCCCACAGAGGTTCTCTAAGCAGAGAGGGGTAATTTCCAGTAGATCTCGGGGTCTTGTGTGGCTTGTGCCTTTTGGCATGGCTGGGGAGAGCCAGGGCTGACTATGAGGGAGAGACCCATCCTTAAGTCTGGCCAAGACGATTGTGTGACGGAGCCACTTATCTTCAGCGGAGGATGGGCAGCACATGTTCCTGCACCCTGTGAATGTCCGCTGCCTCGTGCGGGAATATGGCAGCCTGGAGCAGAGCCCTGAGAAGATCTCAGCAACTGTGGTAGAGATCGCTGGCTACTCCATGTCCGAGGTAAGGTCTTCCCTGTAGAAGAATAGTGTCAGGAACTGACATTAACCTAATTTCTCAGGTGGGCCTAGCCAGCCTAAGTTCACAAACCTTCGAAACCTTTTATTTATTTATTTATTTAATAACGTTTTTGCTATAGTGCATGTACACTCACCAGAGAGAGAGAGAGAGAGACTTCTTCATTCTCCTTGGGATATTAGATACATGTGCATGTGCACTTTTTTTTTTTTTTTGGCACTTAATTTTTTAAGCTACAGGGCTTAAAAAGCAGTTGTGCAGTTGGCTATATGGGATTCAGCACCTTAATCACCATACCACCTCTGAGCCCCAAGTTTTTGTTTTGTTTTGTTTTTGTAAAGATTTATTTATTTAATTTTTAGAGATTTTTTTCTATAGGGTGTGCATGCTTACTAGAGAGACCGAGGCAGAAAGTGAGAAATCACCCCTTAGAGGGGATGGCAACCCTACAGTCTCTTTTCCATTCTCCTTGGGATTTGGGGCACTGATGTAAACACGCTGGGCGTGAGTTTTAAGCTGCCAGGTCTGGGACTCAAACTACAGTTGGCCACATGGGAGTCTAGCAATGTAACCATTATGCCATCTGCTGGTCCCAAGAATTTTTTATTATTATTTTAATTTGCTGTAGGGCACATAGGCTCAACAGAGAGAGAGAGAGAGAGAAAAAGAAAGAAAACCATCAGGTGCAGGACTTGAACTGCGGTCAGTTCTATGAGAGTCCAGTGCCTTCACCACACCACCCACTGGCTCACCTTTTTTTTTTGTTTGTTTTTAAAGAATTGTCAATTTTATTTATTCATTCATTTGTTGTCATTTGACGAGAAAGAGAGAGAGCGTGAGAAACTGAGAAACCAAGGGGCCAGAAGTTAGCGTAATGGCTGTCGCTGGACTCCCATGTAGTCGACCACGGTTTGAGTCCCGGACCCAGTGGCTTAAACTCATGTCGAGTGCGTGTGCGTGCACGTGTGTGCCCAAGATCCTGAGAGGAGAATGGAGGAGAAAGGATTGCAGTGTGGCCATCCACCCTGGCGGGTGATTTCTTGCTTTCTGTCTCTCTGTCTTTCTGGCGAGTGCACACACCCTATAGTAAAAACCTCTCAAAAAAAAAAAAAGGGAGAACTTTAACTCCTATCATATCCTTGTAATTTATACGTACCTTTTATGCTGTATTTGTTCTCTTTTGTAAGTTCTACAAAACTGCTGGTCCCCACTTTTTGTATTTCTAAGTCCATGATTTTGTCAGTTTTATAAGTTAGCACGTCCCTCACTGCCAGAGTTTTTAGTAAGTCAGTTACCACTGCTCCCTGCTTCTCAGATTCATTATCGTTTGAGGATATAGATATCTCTTCCTTTCATTCAAGATCAAGTTTTTTCTTTCTAAATTTTTTTAAAGAATTATTTTATTTAACTTTATTAATTATTATTATTATTTTCCAGTTTGTTCAGACAGGACGAGAGAGAAAAAGAGAGAGTGAAAAAGCTAGCCACTAGGCCCAGGATTTGAACTGTGGTTTGCTATGTAGGACCCTAGTGCCTTTAACCACCACACCACCTGCTGGTCCCTTAAGACTGAGTTTCTTGGGAACCAGCAATTGGCGTAATGGCTATGTCGCTGGACTCCCACGTAGTCGACCGCGGTTCGTGTCCTGGACCCGGTGGCTTAAAACTCACGCCGGGTGCGTGTGTGTGCATGCCCAAGATCCTGAGAGGAGACTGGAGGAGAAAGGATTGTGGCGTGACCATCCCCCCTTGGGGATGATTTCTCGCTTTCTGTCTCTATGTCCCTCTCTGTCTGTCTGGCAAGCGCACGCGCCCTATAGTGAAAAACCTCTCAAAAAAAAAAAAAAAAAGATTGAGTTTCTTTTTGTTTCTCTTTTTCCTATTTGGCAACAGTGTCCCACAAAACTGTGCCACCTGCTGGCTTCCCAACAAATACTATTTTTATTTTCCCTGTTTTCCCTGTTCAAAAGGGAGAGGACCGTGGAAAATCAGAAACAGCTGATCAGCTTTAGGTTATTTGTTACCAGGTTGAATTCATTCATTGATGGCACACACCAAAAAACGTCCTGGCTGCTTCTGCCTTCCTATAGGTTACTTGCCAGTTCCATCTGGCTTTTCCAAATGGTGATAGCCTGAGCACTGCTCTTTGAGCCCCAGTGCTGTCTGTGAGTGTATGTATGCTGTTGTATATCTGTGTGGGCACACGGTGCTCTCAGAGGTAGGCCTGGTCTTAGTTCAGTATTGATCCTTTTTCCAATGTAGGATGTTCGACAGCGTCATAGATATCTCTCTCACTTACCACTCACCTGTGAGTTCAGCATATGTGAACTGGCCCTGCAGCCTCCTGTGGTCTCTAAGGAAACCCTGGAGATGTTCTCAGGTGAGAATGCCCGCTCTGCTCCTCTCGATAGGGGTTTTATGGATTCTTGTGGCTAGAAGTTTCTTCAGTGTATGAGTAAACTTGAGCTGTTCGTGGGGCTTAGTGCCTCCTGAACACTGTCTCTGTTCACCTAGTCAGCTGGGCCCGTGGGTGTGGGCTTGGGTACTAGTCACAGGGAGGAGTTCAGGCCAGATTGTCCCGAGTCTGCCTCCTCACAACCTGACTGCCCTGCAGATGACATTGAGAAGAGGAAGCGGCAGCGCCAGAAGAAGGCTCGGGAGGAGCGCCGCCGAGAGCGCAGGATTGAGATGGAAGAGAACAAGAAGCAGGGCAAGTGTAAGTTCAGGAACTGTCATCTTCGGTCCTGCTGTTTGTCATTGTTAGGAGGCTCTGTGCCAGGCCCAGGAGCCCCAGACTTGGGCTCATGTCTCAGCTCTGCCACTTGTGTTTTGTTTTTTCTCCCTAGCACTTAAATGAGAATCATTAAACTACTCCCTTTGTAGGCTTGTTTGTGAATTTAATGAGCTAATGTGGGTTAAAGTGCATGCCACGTAGTGAGGATTAAGATGAAATTCAACCATAACGGAGTGGAAGAGAATTAGATCTCTGCTGAAGAGAGCTGGAGGCAGTTGTTCCCTGTGCTCTCTGTCACTGCCCTCTCCTCGACAGTTCTACACAGTGTCTGGCAGGACTGTTCTAAAGATCAGACAGCTTGACAAATTGGAAAATGTACACAGGATTAAGAGTTCTTTTGTACCAAGAAGCACAGAGTTTTTTGATCTGGTTCTTCAGCGTAAGCTTCCTTGAATTCAGGGGATTGGTACGAAGTGAGAGCCTGGTTATCCTTTGGAAAACAAGGAGTTAGAATCTTTAGTTAGGTCGGACCTGTTTTGATTTCATATGGTATGGAAATTATAAATTTTGCTTCTCAAACTGAAGTATTTACCTGGGGTACCAACACAGTGCAGCTGTTTGGCACATGTCCTAAAGTTTCACAAAACAAATGTTTCAGGGATAGGGTTTTGTTTGTTTGTTTTAATTTTTTTAAAAACTTGTTGCGGGGCATATGTGATTGCTAGAGAAAGAGAAAGTAAGAAACCACTTAGAGCTGGGGACCAGTGGATGGCATAATGGCTGTGTTGCTGGACTCTCCAACACAGTGCAGCTGTTTGGCACATGTCCTAAAGTTTCACAAAACAGATGTTTCAGGGATATGGTTTTGTTTGTTTTAATTTTTTTAAAAACTTGTTGCGGGGCATATGTGATTGCTAGAGAAAGAGAAAGTAAGAAACCACTTAGAGCTGGGGACCAGTGGATGGCATAATGGCTGTGTTGCTGGACTCTCATGTAGTCAACTGCAGTTCAAGTCCCAGACCCGGTGGCTTAAACTCACGCTGGACGCATGTGCATGTGTGCCCAAAATCCCAAGAGGAGAATGGAGAAGGGACTGTGGCGTGGGTCTACCCCCCCGGGCGGGTGATCTCTCACTTTCTGTCTTGTCTTTCTGGTGAGCACACATGCCCTATAGCAAAAACCTCTCAAAAAAAAAAAAAGAAAGAAAGAAAGAAAGAAAGAAACCACCCAGAGGGTGATGGCCATGCCACAATCCCTTCTTCTCCATTTTCCATTTTAATGTGCATGAACATGTGCCTGGTGTGGTTTTCTATTCTTTTTTTTTTTTTCTTTTTTTAAAAATAATTGTTTTTTTAATTTTATTATTTTATTTGTTACCTCAGAGAAAGAGACAGAGAGAAAGGGAAAGTGAGAAAGCAAGCCACCAGGTCTGGGCTTGAACCATAGTCAGCCATGTGGGTGGGAGTCCAGCGCCTTAACCACCCTGCCATCTGTTTGCCCTACCTGGTGTGTTTTTCAAGCTGCTGGGTCTGGGATTTTTGGCCATGTGACATCCAGCTACCTTAACCATGATGCCACCAGCTGGCCCTGTTTTAACTAACTTTTTCTTTTTCAAACTTTATTTACTTCTTACAAGAAAGAGATAGGCACCTTTGACCTGTGTTCCTCCCGCTAGTTGTGCAGCCAGCCAGGATTACGGCCATTTCCTGCATGTTGAGGTAGACCTGTGTGAGAACCAAGAGCCTTCAGCATCGTGCAGCAGTGCTCTTGCTGCCTGTGCTTCTGTGGTTGGGCTGTTTTTCACTTTCTGGAAATATCCAGATTGGTAGAAAACAATGTAATTAACCCCCATCTTTATCATCCAGGTTCAGTTATGAATTTTTACAATTTATTTAATTTTATTTATTATTATTTAATTTGACCACAGAGAGAGAAAGCAAGCCACCAGCTCTGGAACTCAAACTGTGATTGGCCATGTGGGAGTCCAGCGCCCCAACCACCATGCCACCTGCTGACCCTTCAGTTATTAATTTTAAGAGCAAGACTTTTACATGAAAACAAGACATGTTATAGAATGACAGTAATTCTTTTTTTTTTTAATCACCACCCAGGGGGGATGGCCATGCTGCAATCCCTTCTCTTCCATTCTCCTCTCGCATGTACGTACACACGCCCGGCATGAGTCTAAGCCACCGAGTCCAGAACTCGAACCATGGTCAGCTACATGGGAGTCCAGTGACATAGCCATTACACTAACTGCTGGTCCCTAGAATGACAGTAATTCTAAAATGAGTTTTAAAACTCTGTGTCCTCTGGACCCTTGGGTTGGGGTTGCATATTGGCCGTCCTCAACTGGTGAAAAAGATTTGAAGAATGGACCTACCATTATTGTCTTTTCTTTGCAGACCCAGAAGTCCACATTCCTCTCGAGAATCTACAGCAGTTTCCTGCCTTCAATTCCTATACCTGTTCTTCTGATTCTGCTTTGGGTCCCACCAGCACTGAGGGCCATGGGGCCCTCTCCCTTTCTCCTCTTAGCAGAAGTCCAGGTTCCCATCCAGGTAAATAGAGTTGGACTTAGTAAATTCAGCCATCACCTAGGCCTTAAGCATGGTCCTGGTGTTTGAATTCATAACCCTGACCTGTTCAGCATAGCATGATCTTCATGGAAATAACATCACCTTGAGTAAAATACATTAAATTCTTGCAAATTTCTTTTTATTGTTGCCAGAGGGCAGTTGCACTGGCCCAAGAGAGAGGGAGAGAGGGAGGGAGGGAGGAAGGGAGACAGGGAAAGATTCCCCCAATTCTTTCTCTTCCATTTTTCCGTCTTGTTGAGATTTTGGGACATACACTTTTCTTAGCTGCTGGGGCTGGATTCAAACTGGTCAGCCAACTGGGAGCCAGCTTCCTTAAACACTAGGCTATGAAGCTGGCCCAGATTATCATTTGTTTCGCTTTTACTACAACTGTACTGATTACTTATACTCTACCAGCTTCGAAATATTGCAAGGCAACTCATGAGGCAGAATAGTTAAACTTTGATTCTTCCAGGTGACTCAGCCATTTACTCAAGCATTTTATACATGTCTGTTTTTTGTTGTTGTTGTTGTTTGTTTGTTTGTTGTTTGTTTTTTGAGAGTTTTTGCTATAGGGAGTGTGCGCTCGCCAGGCAGACAGAGAGATAGAAAGTGAGAAATCACCCCCCAGGGGGGATGGCCATGCCTCAGTCCCTTCTCCCCTCTCCTCTTGGGATCTTGGGCACGCACACACTCACCCGGCATGAGTTTAAGCCACCGGGTCCGGGACTCGAACCACGGTCGACTACATGGGAGTCCAGTGACATAACCATTATGCTAACTGCTGGTCCCTACATGTCTGTTTATTTTAACATTGTTTATAACAGAAAAAAAAAGCATGATAGTGAAATGGTTCAGTCATACCATTTGTACTGTAAAATGCTTTACACCTATAGCTCCCATTAGTAACTAATGGGAAGACTGAAACTTTGTAGAATGGGAATAAAAATATTATCATTTGTGGGTTAAGAACACTACCATGGGGGCCAGCAGATGACATGGAGATTAAGGCAGCTGGGTCCCACATGGCTAACTGAGTGGTTTGAGGCCCAGACCTGGCAGCTTGAGAATCACACCAAGTGTGTGTGTGTGTGTGCTTAAAATCCCAAGAGTTGGTAATGGAGAAAGAATTGTGATGTGGCTATTCCCAGTGGGGGGAGTGATTTCTCACTTTCCCTCTCTCTCTGACTGGTGAATGCATGTGCCCTATTGCAGACTTTAAAAAAAAAAAAAAACCGCCACCACAGAACAAAGCATTTTATTGTAGGTTTATATATGTGAATGTAAAGGAAAATATTGGGAAAAATATATTTCAGTTGGTAATAGTGTTAGTCTAGTGAGTAAGATTTAGATTAAGAGCTTGTGCAAAGAGGTAGACATTTTTATTATTGTTATTAATTTATTTTGCTAGTGGGCACATGCACTCATTAGAGAGAGAGGGAGAGAGACACGAGGGTGAGGAGAAAGCATCCCCTATGGGGAATGGTCATTCTGCAGTCCTTTCTCCTCTGCCTTTCCCTCCTTTTGGGATCTTGGGCATATATGCACAGGTGCCTGGCTTGTGCCTCAGTCTGCCAAGTCTAGGGCTTGAACTGCTTGGTTGGCCCAACCTATTTTTTTATTTTAAATAATATTTTTAATGTTATTAGAGAACTCATAGAGAACTATCTTTTCTGATCTCCATCTATTAGGGAAGTAGTTTTTGTTATTTTGATTTGCGAGAGGATGTGTATGGTCACCAGAGGGAAAGGGAGCAAGCACCCTCAATAGGGCGTTGTCATTGCCACACTTGCTTGTCCTTTGTTTCTCTGTCTTATCAGGATTGGGGCTCAAATGCACCATGTGCCTAGCATATTTTTTGGTTTTGTTTTAAATTTGCGATAAGGAGTGTGCACTTGTTGAAGAGAGACAGAAGAGGGAAGAGAAAGGGAGAGTGAGAAATCACCCTTGAGGGGGATGACCACAATCCCTTGTCATCTAGGGATTTGGGGCACATGTGTAAATGCACTTGATATGTTTTTCAAGCTACTGGGCCTGGGATTCAACCTGTACAATCAGCCATATGGGATCTTGCTACCTTACCCTCTATACTACCTGCTAGCCTGGCATTTTAAATAGTATGTCCAAGATCAGAATATTTAATACTTTTTTTTTTTTTTTTTTTAAGAGATTTTTGCTATAGGGCCTGTGTGCTTGCTGGAATAACAAGGAGAAAATGAGAAGTCCCCCTCTAGGGGGATGGCCATGCTGCAGTCCCTTCTCTTTCATTCTCCCCTCAGGATCTTGGGCACACACGCATATGTGCCTGTGCGAGTTTTGTGCTGCCGGGTCTGGGAATCCACAGTCGGCCACGTGGGAGTCCAATGACATCTGTAGGTCCCAGAACTCTTTGTGACCCTGGTGATTGTCTCTCACTTTCAGATCAGGAACCTGAGGCTATAGTAGGGACTTAGTTTGTGGCAGGGCCTAGAACTTAAACCTGTTTTTACTGTTTTTTTTTTTTTTTTAAGAGAGAAATTTTTGCTGTAGGGTGCATGTGCTTGACAGAGAAATAGAAAACGAGATTATCCTGAGGTGATGGCCATTTTGCAATCCCTTCTCCATTCTCCTCTTGGGATTTTGGACACATATACCCCTAGGATGAGTTTTAAGCCACCCGGGTCTGGGACTCGAACCATGTGAATCTAGTGATGTAATCATTACACTATCTGCTGGCCCTTTGACCCTAGTTTTTAAGGAATACATGACTTTGATGCTATTCCAGTTAACTGAGAAAGGGGCTGCTATATGAAGAAGTGTGGCAGGTCGTTGGAAATATCTGTAGTACGAGGATTGTGTTTTCACTAACTTTTCTGAAAGTATGAACTTTTAACGTGTTTAGGAAAGAACAGTTAGATGAGCCTACGAGTAAAACTACCAGGTAGCACTGGATGACTATGGGGAGTCCTGCTAGTGAGAGAGAGAGAGCAGGCCTTTGCCGTCCAGCAGTGATCAGGGCAGTGGATAGACTGTTCAACTCTAGATCTGAAGAGATAGAGTGTTACCTAGAGAGTATCAGGGAAAAGTTCGCATCTTTGTGTTGGATATTTTTAAGGTGTGTATCTTGAGGTTCTGAATACTCCTAGGTTATATATATATACTGACTAGAAAATAAAGGTTGACCTGATGAAGTTTAGCTTTTTCTTGAGGCTTTTTTTTTTTTTTTTTCTCGAGAGAGGTTTTTGCTATAGGGCGCGTGCGTGCACGAGAAAGACACGAGACAGAGAGATAGAAAGTGCGAAATCACCCCCCGGGGAGATGACCATGCTGCAATCCCTTCTCCTCCATTCTCTTGGGATCTTGGGCATGCACGCACACATGCCCAGCGTGAGTTTAAGCCACCAGGTCAGGGACTTGAACCGCTTTCGGCTACATGGGAGTTCAGCGACATAGCCATTACACTAACTGCTGGTCCCTCTTGAGGTTTTTTTATCCATATAATACTGGTCTGTGCCAGAATACCTGGGCCCGGGGAGCTGCCTTTGTGGGAAGTGTAGCATTTCATAAGAGAAGGGTTTTTGCACTGTGGGAATAGCCAACCATAACTCTAGTGTTATTGTAAATATGAAGACTTTTTTCTGCCTGCACTGATCACTCATGTGAGTGATGTTCTTGGCTTGTGAGAACATGGCAAAGATGAAGCTTGGATCAAAGTTCGTTTTGGGGGGAAGGGGGTTGGTTATTCAGATCTCATTCTGGATTCATCTCTCTTGTTAAGATTCTAGCTCTTTGGAACTTGACTCATGTAATCAGGTCTCTGGTTCCT